TAAAAGCACAGTTAGCAAGATAAGGACAGTTAGCAGGAAGCCTGCCACGGCCATGCGGTTTGAAAGCAATATAAGTGTCTGTGTTTATTTGGTTGGGTCTGAGCGGCTGTGGGACTGGCGGGTGACAGAGGTTTGTCCTGACTGTGGGCAAGGCGGAAAACTCTAGCAACAGAAAATGGTTTATGTTGTCCAGCTATTGTGCGTGGGGCCTTCCCTGGCCTGTGGTTGCTGTACTCAATGTCACTCCATTGAAGAAAACATTCTCCTCTCTCAACAGCTATCAATTAGGAATAGCTTCATGGCTAGGGATGGAACTTCACACCCATTTGCCCTCTTCAGATCTGGGATTTTTCTTCTAGCTTGAGCTGGTACAGTTCTTGTTATAGTCACTGTGTGAGTTTGTATTTGCACCTGCCCTCCTGTGTCTGGAAGATGCTGTTTCCTTGGAGTCCTCCATCACCTCTGGCTCTCACAGTCTTTCCATTCCATCTTCCACATACGTCTCTGAGCCTTGAGGGGAGAGGTAGCCTTGAACAAGCCATGTCTTAGCCCTTTGTAGTTTATAGTCCACAAGGCTAACTGTAGTGTGTCCTGAGAATGCAGCATCCTGACGGGGAGTGATGAACACGGTAGGCTGGGCTTGGTCCCAGCCCTCTTCTAGACACAAATACCCTTGAGGGTTTTATAGCCAGCAAGATACCTCGGTCTGGGTAGATGCCTTTCCAGCTCAGCTGTGCTTCAAGTGGCGGGTGAACAGTGCAGATTCCCCACCTCCACAGCTTTCCTGGATCTCAAAGGATCTTCTCACAGGGGGCCCCGACTTCTTGCTGGTCCTTGCTGCCAATTTGCTAGCAAGAAACCCACTTTATGTAACTTGGGGCAGCAGTGAGTCTGTGTGTTCATTGGCCTGTCTGGGTTCTGATTCACTAAGATAGATGTAGCTAAGCTGAAAACCAGTCTATAACCAGCTCCAAGGAACCAAGTTTCTGTAGAGACCTATTTCATGGATCTATTATTACCTTTCTTTTTTTTCTGTTTGGATAGAACATCAAATTTTGATTTGGAAAAGAAATTCTATTCTTTCTTTGAATTAACTTTGCTACCGTTGTTATATTTTTCTGCCATGTAAATTTTAACAATGAGTTTTCCTAATTCCATTTCAAAATCCCACTGCAGTGTTTTGAATTTCTATATAACATTTTTTTTGTGTGTGTGGAAAATTCGTGTCTTTATAGAGACTTTTCTCATTCATTAACACAACACATCTCTTCACCTATTCAGTTTTTTATTTATGTCCCTCAAAAACCCATTTAATAACCTTATCAAATATTTTTTATACATTTAATTGGGTATGTATAGAATAACACACAGTTGTGAAAGACTCAGAGTAATCAATTTTTTCTGCAAATAGTATGCTTTTGTTTTTCTAATTGATTATTGATGATGTAGGGCAAGGCAGCTTCAGGGGTCAGTGAATGGTTCAGGAGTTCAGTGAAGCAGCTTAGAAGGGGGTCCTTTGCTAATGCTTCATTGCGGGCTTGACTATCTTGAAATGCTCCCTCATTTTATCTTTGCAGTTGCACTTTGCAAATGAACTGTGAAGAGAAATGGGAGGAGGCACTCGGGACTGAGGCAGCTCACAGGGCCCCCACTGCACGGTTTTGCCTCCTCAGGGAAGCTTCTTGTGTAACCTCACCCTTGCTGTCATTATTGCTGCCCTTCAGCCACTATAGTGCTTAGATTTGGGGGGGTCATCATGAACCCTTTAAGTTTGGAATTGCTGGTCAGGACTTAGGTACATCTAAGAATCTGCACTTTTCACACCAGCATTTTTATATATTTTTAATAATAATACTATATTATTTATGATATATAATATAGCATATAATATTTATACCAATATATGCCATATATTATTACATATAATAGCTATAATATATTAATCAATGTATATGTTCTGGTGGAAGATCCACCTCAGCCCCTGGCACCCTGGCATCCTATACCAAAGAGTGTGGAATGTTCTGGTGGAAGATCCACCTCAACTCCCCTCCCCCATCTCTTTCCCCAAACCCACCCCTTCAAAGCCCACCAAACACAGCTCCTCCCCTGGAGAGGCTCAAGACCACTCCCACAGTGTATTTAAGCTGCATCTCAGAAAACAGACACATGGTTTTCAGGCTCTCTCATCCCCATTTCCTCTCTGTGGGGCCGGAGAACACTCTCTGTGGGGCTTGGGAATGCTCTACCCATTAAACTGGAGCTTTTCCTAATTTGGTCTGATTTGGATTGCTGCGTTGGCAGAGAGCCTATCAGGGTGCAAAAAACTTATCAATATAATATATATTTTCTGATATATCATATGAGACAAAGTGTGAAATCAGAGCAGGTCAAAATATCAGAAGAGGGCCATAAAAACACTATCAGAGGAAAGCAAAAACTTTTTGTCCTGATCATGGTATATTTTCTATTCAAATTATATACCCTGTACTCTTTTATCGTTAGAGACTATTAGGACTTGTGTATATTGGTCTTTCCATGGGGCTGTCTCTTCGCAATCACAATTCTGTGTTTCAGTGGATATGTTCAATTTCTATACATATTTTAGGATGATATTTTGTTAGCCATCTGAAAGCACCTCCTGGAGCCAAATGCCTTTGCAGTGATTTGTTCATCTAAACACATCAAAGCATGATAAAATTTAGACATTTTATAAAACGCTGCTAGTTCAGAGATGTGTCTAGCTCAGACGGAGGGATCAAAGAAACTTGTTCAAAAGCAGCAATGCAGGACTGTTGCTGTTCTTGGTTCATGTAGGACTCACATGCTTTTTGACATCTGAGGACAAAAGTGAAATCAGTGCTAAGAAGCTCCACTTCTCCATGGAGCACATCCATCAGGCATTTCCTGCAGTCTTCCCTCTCTCTGAAGTACCCCCATGATGGAATGGAGGATTAATGAACTGGTGATGAGGACAGATTCGTATGTTCTTGCATAGTGGTACTATAAAGAACAATGCATGTTGTTACTATTTAGTGTTAGAAAATTAAGTTTTGAAGTGTATCTAATACATAGATAGTTCTCTGCTTCTTAAAGGAGGGTTCAGAGAAAACCCATTTTATTGAGCTAAGCACTTTTGCTTGTATTCTCCATACTTGTTTTATATTCCAAAGTACTGTATCAAAATATAGCTTTTATCACCCCAGACGTCTGTGGGGAGAGGTGTAGGTGAATCTATAGCACAATTCACAGCCAGAAATTGAGAACAGTGCATGTGACCTCATTCTTGACCTCATCTCAAAGCCCATTACAGACATTTCTTGAGACTGTTCATTCTAGAAATAAAAGGGATCAGGGTGACTTTTGATTCCAGAGAACAAGAATATGTCTTAGTTCCCCCTTCTCTCCTCTCCACTGACCTCCTCTGCCTTCCCTCACCTTCCCTCACTCAGGATCGAAGAGACCCTTCCCCCCTTTATTACTAAACCCTCCTTCTACATAGTAATTGCCACAACTTGGATGCATTAGTAGCATTGACGATTCTACGCAGTTACATTCTGGAGACTTAGACAATTTTTTTTTTTTTTTTGCTTCAATCTAAAAAAACACAAATTCATTGTCTGGTATCTGAAATTCCACAATGAAACCCTTTGTTGTGAAAATTTTAAATAAGGAAGCACTAAGACAAAGATAAGACAGGTCACAGGTGCTTAAGAAGGAAGAAGGCCCTTATTTCACAGTGCTGCCTAGGTCTCAAGATGAGTGGACATTTCTCTAGTCTCCGCCTTCTTTTTAAAGTTAGTTTCAAAGTGATTCTGAGAAGAACATTGAAGGCAGAGAACATTGGGGGATTCATGGTATCTGTCTACAGAGTATAAAGAGCTACTTGGTGCCCTCACAACAGTTCCCTCCTACATGACTATGAATACTCACCATTGTATGTGTCTAGAATCACACTGGAGATATGCACTGCTCTGTGTAACTTCTGTAATTCATTAGGCAACTTCAACCTTGCACAGAACACATGGCAATTAGAGTGCACAGAGCACAACAGTGTGGATACTTTCCTGTTCTTTGAAAGAACGATGAGGAAAGATTTAGACATCATTACGAAATGTAACCCATTCAACAAGAGACTTCATGTTTATGGTCTGATATATACTAGAACTCTATCTTAAACCTAGAGCCCTGATTAACTTTAAAGAATGTGTAAGGTACAATCTTCTAGAAATACTAAGCACATCTATGGCCCAAGTATAAATTAGATCAGGGCATTAATGATTTGATTCAGTTCTTTAAGTGATAGCTCATTTTCTTAGTCTTACAATGTCTATCAAATTTGTCTTCCTTGTGTGCTAAGAAAATTAAATTGGGATGCAGCACACAAGAGAGAACTAGTTGTGTAAATACTTCCATATATACTTATAATAATGAACATTTTTAATTTCATTTTTATTAAATAATAATTTAATTATTTTCTCTCATCTCTCCAACTCCTCTCATGTCCTTTACTTCTTTTCAAATTTCTGACTATTCTATGATTACATAGGATTCTTTGAGTTGCTAACATACAGATCTGTTTAAATATTTGAAGAACATCATTTAGAAAATACTTCCAATTTAAAAGAAGAAAATCCTTATTTTTCATGTAAGAAATATTGACTAGGGATAAACAGGCTTATTTTTGGTTCTTACTGTGCCTTGTTTTGCCCAGTAGGAAGGTAAGTTAAAATTAGACCAGTCTCCTCTATAAACCTATAATTCCAATTGACTTAACAGTTTGTCAAGATGCAGTAGCCTTTTCAATATTTCCAACTCTGATGGACCAGGTTGCAATTTACATTACTAGCTAGCATCTATCCTAGAATCTTGGCCACAGATATCTCAGGGAAGGAATAATGAGAAAATAATATAGGCTCTACATGGGTCAGTACCTTTAAATGTACTTCTTGGTCAATAAATTTCATGAGCTCCATCTGACTTACTGGGCAAAAGAAAACAATGGCTGTGGACTAGAGAACTGAAGAAAGAAAAAAAAAACCCTAAACAAATTTGGGGGTAAATGGTCTAGGAAGTATCCCAGCAGCCACACTTAGTCATACGCTATTCTCCGGCAGAAATGTAAAGCTCTCAGTGCATTTGTGAGGCAAAGAACATAAGCGGCCTAAAATGGAGACAATGAATGATCGGAACATTGTAAAAGAAATCACAGGCATAAAAATAAATTAGAGGAGTCAGACAGAGAGGTGACATTCTAAAGTGGGAGATTCTCAGACAGGGCAAATGAAACACACTAAAAACAGCCTAGGACTTGTAACTGAAAAGAACAAATGCCTCGGAATATATTTGTTTCAATTAATCAGTAACCTAGAATTAACTTGCTAATTATTGTGTCGTGGGCACATCACAAGGCTGGACCTCTTGGATTCAGAATGATCTTAATTCCTGTGGGTCAGAACAGTGGTCTCAACTTTTCCATCACGATCTATAACACAATAAAGACAAGAGGTACTGGACTATTTCATTGATGATCGTGGATTTACAAGAGATTAAATTTGGCTTGTCTTAATTATGTTAACAGGAAAGATAAAATATAATTTAAAAGTGGTATCTTTAAAGCATGGTGACTTCTCTGTATTCATATTGAAAACCAGCTGAATGGTAAATGGAGACGTTATTGTTTTTCTAGTCTCACATCTGGGAAAGTGTTAGCAGATAGTTACTATGGAAGTGATAAAATTAAGAAAGATAATGAGAAGGAAATCAGTACTAAAAATAATTTTTTTCACCAGGTCAGAGTATATAATATATCACAGCACACACACACACACACACACACACACACACACACACACACACACACACCATCATCATCATCATCATCATCATCATCATCATGTCTTTCATATAAAATTCTAAAAGAAAAAAGTCAACATCAAGATTTTTTTCTCTGCATAAGCCCCAGGTTCCAAACAGCCAGCTCATGCACTAAGGACAGGTCCTGGTCCCACTGCCTGGGTTTGCTCAGCCTGGGAGGAGGGGACTGGACCTGCCTGGACTGGATCTACCAGGTTGAGCTGAATCCCCAGGGGAGTCTTTGCCCTGGAGGAGATGGGAATGGGGGGTA